AACACGGTGAAACCCCGTCTCTACTTAAAAACACAAAAAACTAGCCTGATGTGGTGGCGGGCGCCTGTAGTCCCAGCTACTCGGGAGGCTGAGGCAGGAGAATGGCGTGAACCAGGGAGGCAGAGTTTGCAGTGAGCTGAGATCTGGCCACTGCACTCCAGCCTGGGCAACAGAGCGAGACTCCGTCTCAAAAAACAAACAAAACAAAACAAAAAACAAAAATTAGTCGGGCATGGTGGCGGGCGCCTGTAGTCCCAGCTACTCGGGAGGCTGAGGCAGGAGAATGGCAAGAACGTGGGAGGCGGAGCTTGCGGTGAGCCGAGATCGCGCCACTGCACTCTAGCCTGGGAGACAGAGTGAGACTCCGTCTTAAACAAAAACAAAAACATAAACAAAAAACCCTGGACCGTTTTTCTCCTGAACTTTTGGCCATTCCTCTTCCTCTGCTCTCACATAATCTCAAAGTGAGAGCTTAACTATCTCTGAAGCTTTCTTTTTCTTTTTTTTTTTTTTTTTGAGATGGGCCCTTCCTCTGTCACCCAGGCTGGAGTGCGGTGGCGCGATCTCAGCTCGCTGCAAGCTCCGCCTCCCGGGTTCACACCATTCTCCTGCCTCAGCCTCCCAAGTAGCTGGGACTACAGGTGCCCACCATCACGCCCAGCTAATTTTTTGTATTTTTAGTAGAGACGAGGTTTCCCCGTTGTTAGCCAGGATGGTCTCGATCTCCTGACCTCGTGATCCGCCCGCCTCGGCCTCCCAAAGTGCTGGGATTATAGGCATGAGGCACCGCGCCCAGCCTGTAGCTTTCTTCTAATATGTTAGAGCACCTCCACGAACATGCCATTTTTGTTGTTGTTTGGACCAGTGTTTTTCAAATATGCACACAAATCACCTACTGAATCATGTATAAATGCACATTACGATTCTAGGGGTCCTGTAGAGGGCCCGACAATCTACATTTTGTATCACTCCCAGCTAATGTTGATGCTGTGGGTACTTGTGCCAATTCCATGACTTTCCTCAATTGATCCTATATCACAGTTATCCCTATGCCATTTCTCCAATTATGTCTTGAGCTAGTTGATGGTGGCATTAGCACATATATACATGTTTATATCCTCCCAAATGCCTGGCACATCTTCTCCCATATTGCTGGTACTCAGTAAGTATTTGAGGAATTTGCAATAAATGCTTAAACGTTCTGTTTTGTATCAGAGTGGGCTTATAGAAAGAGCTTGTCTTCTCCCTTACCTCTCACCTCAACCCTGGACCCCATCTGTCACTAGAAGGATTCTCCTTCAGATTAAAATGTTAATGATTTGAAGTGTTACTCATATCAATAATATTCGCATAGAAAAAAAGATCACCTGAGAGGTCAGTATTCACACATGATACACCACAGTCTTTGCAATGCTTCTCTTGTTCCCCTAGGTAATTAATTTCACAGCATCTTGCTGAGAGGCTTAGCTCTCCTGGGTATATCTGAGCCAAGGGAGATGTGCTCCTGCCACAGAGTGCTATTTAGAAGTCTCACAGACTAAAAATTCTTTACTATGTGGATATCAGAATTCTATAGAGATTTATAATTCTTTAGCTGGCTTGGCTTCTGAGTAACCCCTCACCCCATCTGGTAACCTAGAGGTGGTATTACTTTGCAGTACGGGCTTCACAATTTCCTGCTTGTCCTGGAACTTCAGTGGGCATGCTGATTTTAATCATCTCCATGTTGCACATAGCATCACATGATGTGTTCAGTCTTGGAAAAGGAAAAAAAATCCTTCCTAATCCTTCTTGGTGGAATTGCCATCTCTGTCCTCCCTGTGCTTCTCATGAAGCTTGTGCTGTATTCTGCTGCAGTTGCTGCTTTTGAGACCTTGTAGTCATTGCACAACCAGCTCTCTATCCATGGCTCTTTGTCAGTTAATTCTGATATTGCTGGGAAGAGAGGGATGAATCAGTTCACTCTCCACAGAAGGTCACAGATTTTAATTTTCTTTATCCTCTGAACTATGGCTTGCTGGAGAGATCTTTCTGGCACACCGGAGACCTCTTTCATCCAATTATCTTTCTGACCACTCAGCTCTCCAGCCTGTACTCCTCTCTGTGGTACACGGCTCTGTTACAGTCTAAACATACAATGAAACTGGACTCTCATGATGGGATTCTGAGACCTTTGACACTTAAGTAGTAAAGACATATTTGAACAGAGGAGTCTTCCCAGGCTCTTCAGCCTACTCCATGTAGCCAAGTGTTCCCTACATCTATGCCTAGGTTGCACCCTGACCAGATGAGGCCATCTGATTGAATGAATCATAACTTTGGGAGCTACTTTGTCAGAGTGGCCTCATGTAGAAACAACATTTCCAAATGTAGTTTTCTCTCAGGTTACTTAGAGGCTCTCACCTGGAACCACAGACCTTTAGAGCTACATGTGATACAGCATGGAGGGCAGTTTGCAAATAGACTATTACAGAGTGAGACAGGGAGGCCTTTGGTGCACTCTTCTTTAGAGATCCCTTGCCCATCATCCCAATCCTCCTGCGTCAACCTTAGGTTTTATTCTGGCTATTTTAGTCATTATTTGCCCTCATACAAAATACATGCATCTTTGTGTTTGTGGATGAGTGGATCAATATTATACCTCATTCTCTTTTTTGGGGGTAGCATTAGGTTGTCACTCAGAGTTATTTACAATGACCTGTCTTTAAAAATGACATGTTCAGGTTATGGGCAAAGGCTCATCTGAAACCCTAGAAATTGTAGGTGGAGACTATTTCAGAGGATGTTTGAGAGAGGCCACCCTGGGGTAATAATTAAAAGTCTGGAGCAATAGCTATCACGTAGGGTGTTTCAGAAACAACTTAATATGAGAACAGAGGTCACCTGATTGCCGAAGTGTAAGGACAGTTGGCATATGGGCCCAAATTTGGCTTCAATTTCCCTTCAAAGTTAATGAGTGTCGCAGGTGCTTATCTAATCATGGCATTTGGATCAGTATGTTTTGTACATTCAGGGCTTTGTAATGAGATGCAATGTTTATTTTCTGTACTCTTCCCCACAGACTGCAAAAATACCCTTTGCTCAACCCTGTCTAATCATTGTAAGTGTCAACAGTCAAAGCTAATGACAGAAGGTAGGTTTATGGGGCAGTAACCCTGCCTACTTGGCATAAAAGATCCATTCCCAGAAAAAAGGTTTAAGCAATCACGTGAACTTCAGTCTAACTAAAGGAGCTTCAGTGGATTGGTGATTTTAAAATAATGATTCTTTGATCAGGTTGGTAGTTAATGTTTGAGTGTAGATAGGTGGAGGAAAGTTGCAGTTGATGACTATTTAATTAAGTGTATAGAACATGAGTCTTAGCCTTGGCTTCTGAGTAACCCCTCACCCCATCTGATTAAGCATAAACCTGCTGTGTGTGTGTCTCCCCACCAAAACACTCAATGGTCAGGTTAAATTAAGTTTTATTTATTAAACATTTACCAAATGTCTGCTAAGTTCCAGGTGTTGCATTACACCTTTGAGAGTCAAAGATAAAGAGGTATGAAATGGATCTTAACACTTGACTGTTGGATTCTGAATTCCTGCATCGTAGTTGGCCTTCAGCATGATTCACATACCTGGCTACTCAATGCAGGCTATTGCAGAGTTGGCTGCGTAAGAATTATCTTGAGAACTTGTTAAATATACAGGTTTGGGGGCCACAATTCCAGATATTCTGGTGTAACATACCTGGAAAGAAATACAGGCATCAGTATTTTTTTTTTAAAAAAAGGTTCAGTGATACTTTTAAAAAAGGTATTTATTTGTATCTTTATTTCATCTCCTTGGTCAGCTTGAACTATCCAAGGTCATAAGCTTTGTACTAAAATACCCTTTTAATATTATAGTTTTGTTCAATTTCCTTATTTTTTAAAATAGCTTTTGCTTCACATATATTTTTAATATTTTTAATTTTTTGTAATTTTCAAGTATATAATATACTATTATTAAATATAGTTACCATGACATAAAATAGATATCTTGAACTTACTCTTCTGTCTAGATAAAAATTTATATCCTTTGACCAACATCTCCCCAACCCCATCCCCACTTTCCTGAGCCTTTGGTAATCACAGTTTACTCTCTACTTCTATGACGTCAACTTTTTTAGATTCCACATGTAAGTGAGAACATATGGTATTTGTCTTTTTGTGCCTAGCTTATTTCACTTAACGTAATGTCCTTCAAGCTCATCTGTGTTGTTGAAAGTGACAGGATTTTCTTATTTTTAAAGGCTGAATAGTATTCCGTTGTGCATTTTGATCACATTTCTTTATCCATTCATCTGCTGATGGACACTTAGGATTCCATATCTTGGTATTATGTTTAAACCTTTGTTAAATTAACCCTAGTGCAAAGTAGAATTCTTCGGACAGTTTTTTTTTTTTTTTTTTTCCCTGAGACAGAGTCTCACTCTATCACCCAGGCTGGAGTGCAGTGGTGCGATCTTGGTTCACTGCAACCTCTGCCTCCCAGGTTCAAGCAATTCTCCTGCCTCAGCCTCCTGAGTAGCTCGGACTGCAGGCGCATGCCACCACCCCTGGCTAATTTTATTTTATTTTATTTTATTTTGAGACATAGTCCCACTCTGTCACCCAGGATGGAGTGCAGTGGCAAGATCTCAGCTCATTGCAACGTCTGCCTCCCGGGTTCAAGTGATTCTCCTGCCTCAGCCTCCTGAGTAGCTGAGACTACAGGCATCTGCCACCATGCCTGGCTAATTGTTTTTGTATTTTGGGTAGAGACGAGGTTTCACCATGTTGACCAGGCTGGTCTTGAACTCTTGGCCTCAAGTGATCTACCCTCCTTGGCTTCCTAAAGTGCTGGGATTACAGGTATGAGTCACCATGCCCAGACTCTTTGGACAGTATTTAAAAACAGCTGATACCAGGTCTCCACTCTATAGCAATTAAATCAGAAACTCTAGACATTGGGTCCTGGGCATTGACATTAAAAAAACCCAAAATTCTCCAAAGCATGATGATTGGGTTTTCATACTAATGTGTGAAATGTGCCTCCCTCAAGCCTTGTTACGACAAATAAAGTTCTCCCCAGGTGATTCTGAGTTGAGTTGAGACCCCTTGGAGTACGTGTTTCCTGTTGATGAGATAAAGCGAGGGGAACTGCTGTCATCTGGGACCCAGCATGCGCTTTTTGACAATTTCTTCCATTTGTGTGGTTATTTCAAATTTTCAAGTGCATAAAATCTTGCAAGCCCCTGGAAGAGACCTTAGAGACTGGCTACACCAGGAGTCAGGAACCCTATAAAGGGCTAGATAGTAAATATTTTAGGCTTTGTGGACCATATATCATAACTACCTGGCAGCCGTAGAGTGAGAGCAGCCATAGACAATATGTAAATGAATGGGCGTGGTGTGTTCCAGCAATCTTATTTACAAAACCAGTTGTGAGCTGGATTTTTACCCCTAGCTGTTGTTACTTGCTAACTCATGTTCTACACCAACACTCTGTTCTCACCCATGAGGAAACTGCCATCCACTGGGCGATGTCATTTGACTCAGATCTCAAGGCTAGGAAAGGGCAAACATGGGCTTGAAGTTCGGGTATTTCTACTTAAAACAAATGAACAAACGACCTCTCCTCTCCTAAATCTACAGTTGGTGAATAGTGTTCTTAAAAATTAAACCATTAAAAGGAGGGTCTTCTCATATCTACCCTTTGTGTTTCCCTGGCTTTATGGTGCTGTGATGTGCTGTGTACATGTTACCACTCTCTCCAGATTGTAAGCTCTTCCGTAGTAGAGCCTGGGCTTTCTTCAGTGCCACATTCCCACCAGTCTGGAGCAAAGTAGTGCCTGTACCTGTTAGTGTGCTGAATATATTGCAGCCTGAGGATGTGGAGCTCAGTTTCACGTGTTTATTTCAAGACAACAGGGCTGACTGGGTCATCGATTTCTGGAAGTATCTTTTGTTAATATCTAGCCTACTTTTGCTTGTGTTCTTTATAACTTCAAATAATATTTATATAATGACAGAAAAAGTTTGGGGATTGTGGCAGTGGGGGAAAGCACAGATTAGATGTCTAATTACTTTTAAAAAGTTGACCTTCAAGTTTGGCCAAAAAAAAAAAAAAAAAAACTGTAAGAAATCAAGTTTGAACAGGATTCTTTGCAATATTATTTTCTCTTCACTTTTCTTCTGTGCAGGCTTGCAGGAAAGTATATATGCAATATGTTATTGTTGTCTGCAACATTCAGAAACCTGCCCCCGCCCTCCCAACCGCCTCTTCTCTGCAGTCTCTCCAGTTTGACCTTGAGAAGTACTGTTTACAGTTCAGTGAACCTGGGTATCTCCCTTCTTGCTTCAAGCTCAGCAAATGGACAAGAAAAACCTGCAGAACTCGTTCAGCAATTTCAAACTATAAACAAGCAATCCAGAGGGAATAAGGGAATGACTGCAATTAAAGTCTTCTCTCCCAAGGTTGTCAACACTCTAGGTTGAGCAGTGGCCTGAGAAAGTTGCTCATTTCCCAGGCAGGCTTGCTTAATGCAAGGTGCAGTGGGCTATTATCTAATGTACCTTGCTTTATCAGAACACACGTTTCTCTCTGTGCCTCTGTCTCTCTGTCTCTCTGTCTCTCTGTCTCTCTCTCTCTCTCTCTCTCTCTCACACACACACACACACACACACACACACACACACACACACACACATCTTCCATATTCACATATAAACACACACGGTTGCTGTTGTCTCAGGATGGATATAGTGGAAGATGGAATATTATGATCTTACAAGGGAAAAAAGGAGCTTTTAAAGGGCAATTCAGGCCGAGCGCAGTGGCTCATGCCCGTAATCCCAGCACTTTTGGAGGCTGAGGTGGGCGGATCATGGGGTCAGGAGAACGAGACCATCCTGGCTAACATGGTGAAATCTAATCTTTACTAAAAATACAAAAAAATTAGCCAGGCATGGTGGCACTTGCCTGTAATCCCAGCTACATGGAAGGCTAAAGTCTTGGGAGGCTTGAAGTTCAGGTATTTTGACTTAAATCACTTGAACCTGGGAGGTGGAGGTTGCAGTGAGCACACCAGTCTGGGTGACAGAGCAAGACTCTGTCTCAAAAAAAAAAAAAAAAAAAAAAGGCAATTCAATCTGGGGAAAAGTGGCTCAAATGCTTGGGAAGTAAATAGAAAGGACAATTTAGTTAACAAATACAAGGTGTGGCTGTAATGTCATAGGTTATCATTTTCATATAGCACAGAGCTATATGATTTCATTTATAAATTTTGTACTATGATTCTTTTGGAGATACAAAAGAAATAGACAACTTGGTTTCTGCCTTCTAGTATTTGGCAATTATTTGAGGATAAAGGACAATGAATATGTATGTTATTGAATGGATAATGTACACATTTAAGGAAATGATGAAGACCCCAGATGAAGGGAACAGATAACATCTTTTTTTTTTTTTTTTTTTTTTTTTTTGAGACGGAGTCTGACTCTGTTGCCCAGGCTGGAATGCAGTGGCTTGATCACTGCAAGCTCTGCCTCCCAGGTTCACATCATTCTCCTGCCTCAGCCTCCCAATAACATATTGCTCCTCAAATAATTGCCAAATACTAGAAGGCAGAAACCATGTTGTCTATTTCTTTTGTAGGACGCTTTGAGGCCTGGCTCACCAGACTACATATCACGAGTGAGCACTTGGAAATTCTAATCTGAGTGATATGATGACATGTTCTCTGTGCCTTTGAATATCTAGTTTCTCATGTATAACACGATCTTTGAAGCTATACAAGGAGAAAATCAGTGTCACCTGACCACCATCTTTCGCCCTTGAAAGGCATAAAATTCTAGTAAGAATACTACATATCATGCTGTGTAATTTACTGCTGCGTGCTAAGCCTTTACCAAATATTTTTAAAGGAAAAGAATAGTAAATTAGGATAGGAGCACTCAAAGGAACCCATAAGATGTCCCCTTAAAGAAAGGATTTATGGATGAGGAAACAAAAGCCCAGGTGGCCGCCATGATATACTCGTGGTCACACAGAGGAGGAAGTCTCCTGAAGCAAACTCAAGGGCACTTGGTACATCATACTAATCCTACTTGTTGATTTATAGAAGTATTAGCTACTTTATTTTCTCCTTAATTAGGACAGAGAGTAATTATCATTATTGGGTCCAGAAAGAATTATGCCAATGTTCCAAGATTCTGCATGGAATATTTGTCATGCAAAGCGCTGCCCTTCATACATAGAGCGGCCCCATAGGCTATGGCCTCCTCCCTGGGACTGCCAATGTGTCTGAATTGCTGGGAGCATCTCCCCCAGGCCTATGAACATGAGCTGCTCCTTTGATGGGACTTTGATGGCCATTTGATGGCCATGAAATATCATTTAGGAGAGGGGTTAATGCCTTTTTTGTTGTTGATCTTTCACCTTCAGGGAGCATGAGCCTCTGAGAGATCTGCTTTCATGCCATGTTCACAGAAAGGTTTCGCTCAGCCTGAGCCAGGCGGTTGCTGACTGCCAAGGCCAGCGTGTGCCGACTGCTGCTGTGTTTCCCAGCGCTGCCAGCAGGATCTTATTCTTTGTATCTGCACCTCCCAAGCAATTCTTCCGGGGCAGCTTTGTCTGTGCTCCTCTGCCAGGCTGAAGGGCTGGTGCTTAGGGATGCATGCATCCCGCCCTTTGCCCTTGTGTCTGAGCTGTTCGAATCTGATTTCCAGGGCAATTGCAGTTTGGCAGCTCCCCGGGGCATCCTCTTGAGCGGCTGCTCTGCTGTTACTGTTTGGGGAGGCCTTGGAAACTCCCTTGGGAAGTTTGTCAGATGGTCTGATGAGAATAGCAGGAGCCTGTTTTCCATAGTCAAATTGTCATTTTCAACATCGTTTTTGTTGTTGAGTTTCCCTTTTTTAAAAATAAAACAGTAAAACAGACATACTCTTTTCTAAACAAGTGTAGACTTTTACCATGAGGGCTGGAAGGGGTCTCACTGAGTAAATACCTCTTCTCCCACCCTCATGTGATAGCTTCTTTGTTTTGAACCTGGGTATGCCCAAGTGGTTTTACAACCTCCCTTGGATATCAACAGTCCTTATCCTCTCACCATCTGATCTCCCTTCCTACTTCTGATCCTCAGAGGGTGCCCAGACAGTGCTCCCAAGAATGGGTTGAGGTTCTGAAGGTGTGTGGGCACCTAAAGATCCTAAGCTGTCAAAATAACTGCTGTCCAGGAGAAACTGACCAGGCCTAAGGTTCAGTCTGGGGAAACCTGACGCAATAACTTTTAGCAAGTACTAGGCGTTTTGCTGTGTATCAGGCCTGGAGATCAGCCATTTACATGAGTGATTTTCACACATTCCACGAAATAGTTTCTTTCATTAGTTCCATTTTACAGATGAGACTACTGAGGCTCTGAAAGGCTAAATGACTTGGCTGAAGCCACATACTTAGTGGCAGAGTCAGAACTCAGTCTCTAAGGCTTTTGAATTCCCGAACCCGTACTTTTAGCCATGATGGTATACAGATTTAGTTCTGGGGTCTGGAGACCATTGACAGTCTTGGAAATAAACTGTGTCTTGATATAAATAAAGCACAGATATGGGTGTGTTCAGTTCTTGGACACATTCCTTTTGAACTCCAAAGGACAAGGGGTTAACCTCATGACTTTGATAGGAAACAGAAGACAGGTTGTGAGGTTTCTTGGGTAATTCTGGGTATTTGGACACCTGTTCAGTTATTCTTGGATTCTGTGGTGGGGGTGGGGGGAAGATGGGGAGGCTGAGGTCATTATTGCAAAAACCATTTCCTGAGCGCTTGACTTCAGGAAATGCTGTAGCATTAAAAATACCCATTGTGTAGGAGTGATAGAAGCATGACTCACGTTTAGCAATTGTGTCCATAGGTCACAAAGGATTTGGGGAACACAGGGGATATTCACACAAGATTGTGTCTGTGGGTGGCTCATTATGAAATTTTTAGTAGGTTGAGAAGCATGGTCGCATTTCAAAAGGAGTGACATTTAAGATTCTCCATGGAAGCTATGAGACTTGGCTCATCATTCATACATTGATTAACAAACGTCAATTGTCCGC